AAGATAAAGAGGGGAATAAAAATTACCGTAGAGACTAAGAGAATCTATTTCGGGTCCGTGTGTGTATACGCGTTTTTTTATATTGCAACGACGCAAGTCGCGCGCGCGAGTTTTAAATCGATAAAACAAAAAGAAAAAAAAAATGGAAAGAAGGGAAGGGAGGTTAAGGAAAATGGGGGTGGAACGAGCGTGTAAAAGTTTGTCCTTGGACACTGAATTGTTTATGACGGGGGTGTGGACGTATGTTGAGTAATATATTTATAGGAGTATATTGTACTATTGTATAGCACGCGTCAATGATGGCCAACGGTTTTTGGGTGGGGGACTGGTTTCTGCACTCGATTTCATCATTCGCTTTGTCAACAGAACATCTAAATATAATTTTCCTTTCTTGTTACAATTTCTTTAATACATTCCGATATTTCTTGTTCTGTTATGAAATTATTAATTAACTCTTCCAATTGGCGACACTCTAGAATTTTTACGAAAACGAAAATAATAAAATTAATTCACAGTGGAAATAAAAATGATGGAATTACATTAATGGTATTTCTAATTTTCTTAAGTCAACTACGAGCGAATCAGAGAGTGGAAACCACGCGAAATCCGGTAAAATGGCGGAAGTCCGAGGACCCGTGGCCGCCGCGTTCACCAACCGATTACCCGTTAATCGAAGCGATGAAATGAACGCGAATGTTTCGACGGAAGTATAGGAACACACAAGTATCACGGTACAGTGGTGGGAAGAGGAGAATAAGAAGAAGAAGAAGAAGAAGAAGAAGAAGAAAGAGGAACGGGAAGAGAGATCTGTTGTGTGAGAAAGGCTGAAAGAACGAAACGGGGGTAAATAGAACAGGCGAACGGTTCGTACGACAATAAGGTATCGATTAGTTAATCAGAGATGAAATAATGTAAAATACAAGTGCAAAAGCAAGTATACATTATTATATTTATTATAATACGGTGGGGGTCCATCGTGTGTCGGTTACCGAAAATGGAGAATAAAAAAAAAGAACGGTTCGAATATCTTCGTATTCTCTCTTTCGAATTAAACGAAGAAAGAAAAATTCAATCGAAAGAGAGAAGAAGAATAGAGAACTCGTAGTGAGCGAAAGAGAGTGGATTTTCACGTGAGGGGGAACGAGTCTCCTTTTTAGAGTTTTTAAACACGCGAAAACAGCGGTTGCGCCGCGAGGAAACAAGACAGCTGGAGGAGACGTTTCCGAGAAACCGGAAACGCGCGATCTACGGAGAAGATCCAGCAAGAGAGGGGGAGGAATAGGTTAAACACGAGGGGAAAAAAAAATGTATAGTGTGCGTGTTAAAAAAGAGAGAGTGTGGCTGGAATCGATGGGATCGATGAGAGAAAACGATCCCGATCCCACGCTTTTTAAGCGGCGTCGTTTCCTTTTTCATTCACGATGAAAGGACGATCTCGGCTGGGGATGATCGGTCATCTCGGATCTCGATCGAGCCGCGTGGATATACCAAAGGATCGTAGAATTTTACGCGAGTAAGAGAAAAAAAAGATGAGAGCAAAAAAAAAATAAGAAAATACATTATTTATTGTTTACACTTACGTATTCATTAGTGAATGACACACACACAGAGACACACAGGTACACACAGGGCACAGGAAAAAACAGAGGATGAATGTGGTGAATGCGAGTGTGAGACATACGCAGAGCGTGGTTTTTCACGAACCTGAAAATTTAATGAAGAAACGCTGTCGTTAATTTTTCGAGAGAGAAAGAAAGAATGTATGTATGTATGTGTGTGTGTGTGTGAGAGAGAGAGAGGGAGAAGGTTAATTGTAAATGATGGAATCGAAGTTTCTCATGAGATTGTTCATAATCGATCCTTTGGGGAGATCGACGAGAAACTAGTTTTTTCTTGTAAGTGACCAGTTTGTTAGCGTCCGCTCGTCGATCGACCGATTTATTGATCGAGGGATCCAGAGAAATGTGGATGGAAATCATTATTGTTGAAAATTTGTGAAAAGTTTGAGAGAGAAAAATTGCAATATTTCCTTTTGGTGTTAATCGAGAGTGGAAAAAATTAGAAATGGAGAAATGTTATTACGAGTGATTGAATTCGTTCGATCGAGAGAGAAATTCGATTCCATCATGAAGAAGAAGCGTGTAGCTATGTAATAGAGACACACAAGTTCTGGAGAGAAGGGGGCGATTGTAAACTACTGTAAACTACGATGTTACTACGTTTTACCAAGAGCTTATTGTAGTCGAGAACCATTTAAAGAGAACAAGAGAAAAAAATAATACACACAAACACTCACACATATGAACATGAATGATACTACACACGGTATAATACATATTACACGAAGAAAGAGGAAATGTGGATGATGAAGAGGAGATTTGAAGAGGTGAGGAAGTGAGAGAGAGGTGGAGAAAGGTGGAGGAACTTTTACAAGCAGTCGTTGCGAGATGATGATGATAATGCAAAAACCAAACCAAAACAAACCAAAACAAACAAGAATATAAAAAAACACATAAATGAAAAATACAAAAAAAATAATGGTAATTGAGTGTAGCACGAAAAAGAAACTTCTTTACACTTTTGCACGAGACGTGTGTTGTACTTAAATTAATTATCATTGACATATGTAATTAACGTTTTATTACTTAGCAATTAAACTTAATTTATTTATGATTAATAACGAGTCGATTGTGTTGTGGACACGCCCTTGTTGTCGAGATGAGTTTGGTTCGAGAAACGAGTGCTGTTTCACGCTCCCTTTCGAGGAGAAGAAGAGGAAGAGAGACAGAGAGAATGAGAGAGTGAGAGAGAGTAAAAAGTGAACGTATGTGCAATTCGACGGTGTCGAAATAAAAATTGAGAGAAAAATTGAGGCAAATTTCACTGACATGATTCGAGGCATTGTTTTCACCGATTCGAACTTTTCTTTCTTTTCTTTATTGATTCTCCGTATTTCTGTTTTTTTTTTTTTTTAACTAAATTTTATTCAAATAAATCAATACAAAAATAGGTACCATTTTTATTTGATACAGTTTATTACGCAGTAAAGGCTTGGATACCGGTAATGGCTCTGCCAAGTATCAGAGCATGAATATCACTCGTACCTGCAACAAAGTATTTCACAGTTATTAACAAAAAATTTTTCTGACCAGATTTTTCACGAATCGATTCATGATTCGAAACTTCTCTATGTACCTTCGTAGGTAATTACACTTTCCAGGTTCATCACGTGTCTTATAACGTGATATTCATCGGATATCCCGTTACCACCTAGCATTTCCCTGGCTGTTCTCGCGACTTCCAGAGCTTTCGTGGTTGAATTCTTCTTTATCATGGAGATCATCTCTGGAGTGGCTCTAGTGTTCACAGTATAATTAAAAAAATGACGAAGACCAATTGTATTTAACAAAATAGCACTAAGACACTCTACAAAATTGATCAGATCAACAAAATTAAATAGGAAACCTAAAATACACCCAATCCACTCAAAATCAACATGAAATTCCACTGGAAAAAGTCTCCAACAAAATAAATTAGTACTCTAATTCATGGAAAATGGCAAAAAAGAGGCTTACTTGTCCTCATCCTTCAGCCTGCCCACCCTGAGACAGGCCTGGAGTCCGAACGCGATGTCACACATCATGTCTGCCAGCTTCTTCTGTATTAATTGGTTGGCCGCCAGCGGCCTGTTAAATTGCTTCCTCTCTGTTGTGTACGACTTAGCTATGTTCAAGCAACTCTCAGCTGCACCAAGTGCTCCCCATGCTATCCCATATCGAGCATTGTTCAGACAGCTGAAGGGACCCTATATGTGAATATAGTTCTTCAGTAGTGACAACTTCATTAACCGGGCAGTGTCTTTTAATAGTTACACTTACTTTTAAACCGTTAGCGTTTGGTAGAAGGTTCTCTTCAGGCACCATCACGTTGTCCATTAGGATCATACCTGTTACCGAAGCTCTTAGAGAGAATTTTCCTTCGATTTTAGGTGTAGACAGACTGTTCTCATTGCCTTCTCTCTCAACTATGAATCCTCGAATATTACGATCCTCGCACTTCGCCCAGATTATCAGAACATCAGCTATTGGAGAGTTTGTGATCCTGGATTGAAGATAGTGGTTGATGAAGAGCTTTTGTGGAGGATTTGAGAGGTAATTTAAAGAGCACTGACCATGTTTTGCTGCCAGAGAGTTTGTAAACCTTGTTCTGAGAGTCATAGGTTGCTTTAGCCTCCATTGAAGCTGGATCGCTGCCATGGTTTGGCTCTGTTAGCCCGAAACAACCGATCAGTTCACCTGACACTGGAAATTATCTGGATAGTCAAGTTTTTCATTGGAGAAAGTAATAGTAGAAACTTCAATACACATCCACACACTTGTAGAATCAAACATTATGCTTCAGAATTCTTTCAAACATTTTTCAGAGATTTTTTTCAGGGATTCATCAAAATCAGGCAACCAGACTTCACAAATCATTACACAAGTAATATTAGAAGTTTCAATACATGTTCGCACACTCACAGAATTGAACAATATGCTTCAGAATTTTTTCACCATCAAGAGAAGTTTTCAGAGGTTTGTCAAAAATCAGGAAACCAGGTTTCACAAATCATCAAACAAATAAATTTCTTCATTCTCAGAATCTTCATTAACATCCATCAATTTACTTCCCAAAAACGTACCCAATTTTGGCAAATACTTCTGCTTTTGTGTCTCGCTTCCATGTGCATAGATGGATCCAGCAACCAGAGAAGACTGCACAGACATTGCAGATCTATATCCACTGTCCACAGATTCGATTTCTTTAGCCAGAAGACCATAGGCCACCGAAGAGACACCAGCAGCACCATAGCCCTTCATGGTGCACCCTAGGATGCCCAATTCGCCTAATTCCCTCATTATCTCCTTGTGGAAGACTTCATTGCGATTTGCCTCGACAACACGAGGCAGAAGCTTGTCCTTACAGTAGAAGCGAAACTGATCTCTCATCAGGATCTCATCCCGAGTAAGCTGAGACTCGAGATCAAATGGATCTTGCCAGTTGAAGGTGGCTGTGTCATTTTATACAGGTTGATAATTAACCCTTTTATGAAATTTATAAATTTACCACTGTTAAATTAATTTTGACCAAACTGACTCAATAAAAATAATAATTAAACTATTTTTATAATTCCATTTTGGGTAAAAATGATGCGATTTTTGTACAAGGATTAAGTTCAGTGGTATTGCAAATTATTTTACTTTCATGTAAAATTCAAGGTATTCACTTAAACATTCAGAAAAGAAGATAAAAAATAGAGAAATTGTTTTAAGAGTTATTTAATAGCGAATGTTTTCGTATTTCATTTTATATTTCCCTTGGATCACGTGATACTGCCATTCCAAGCTAACTCAAGCACGTGCTGCTAACTGGTGGAGAATTTGAAAGTTACTACGTGACAGATGTAGCTGGATTTGTGCAGAAATTGAGACGAAGGTACTTACTTAAAGTTCGCGAAGAAAATAAAAGACTCACGTTTTCCTCCCAGTATAGATGAGACTGAAATCTCTGTTAGTCCAGTCATTAGTTAAGAATAACATCATTGAACAAAATAAAAAGTGTTATACCCGAGTTAAAATAGGTTTGAAAAAAAATTAAATGTCGTTTTCATTGAAAAAGGTCGTGAATTAAATTTTTTCTTCTATAAAAGTTTAAAGATATTCACACTAAATAAAGAAAGGATACGTCTGGATGGAATTTCACGATAAAATCGATCATATTTCGATAAAATGTTTCGCGTGAGAGCAGCCATGTTCAGAGTCGACAGAAAACTGACTTGTTGGCCTCAGTGAGAAGCGCGTTATCAGGCATCCGCTTGACCCCGCTCGAAAGCAACAAAAATATCGCACCCAGCTTTTCTGTCTCGCACTATTTGTCCAAATTTTTTACATACTTTTTATCAATGCCTCTTACGTTTGTAAATATGGTTCTCACTGGAGGATCAACGAATTGGCGCGAAATTCAAACTCATAACCATCGTATAACATTAAAACATTAGATATAAAAATTCTTCGATGTAAATTCAGAATGATTAAGAATACAATATTTCTAACAATTTCTCATAAGACATATTTTATTTACAAAACTTTATAACAATAGATATATAGATATTTCCATTTTCAATGATCAAAGATTAACGAGAATTTTTCTGCACTTATTCAATGCTAAACGATTAAAATTGCAACCGTGACGCAGAGAAACGTGAGGGACGGATTGTTGCACGCTGGAAAACGAAGAAAAGGAGAGAAGGCGATAAGGACAAACGAGATGTTGAAATGTTTCGTACGATTCGAAAGGCACTTCGATAATTCGATCGAATATTTTAGATTTGACTTTTACACCACGAGAAAATCGTCTCCTTTCGCGGGACCGTCTGGTAGCTTCTGGTTAAAGACACGGATGTTGTGAAAGAGATAGCCAAGGGAATCCATGATTGGTCGCACGATGGCTTGCGTAACGGCGGAGAAGAAGTTCCTTGTCGCCGCGCAGGTGATCTTCCAGACACGGAGACATGGCGCTAGACACCATATATGCTACAAAGATTCGTCTGTTAATTCATCTTTTTAGGACTGAATGATTTCTGTGCGAATTTTTATGATATGAAACATAGTCATTTTTCACAGTGCTTCGAATTGTTGAGATAGATTTATTCAACCCTTTGTCATATAACGACGAGTCACACCCGTGCTGCAGATTATGGTGAAAATGTGATAAAAGAAGAATTGCATGTATTTCCAATAAATTTGCACTTTAGCTCTAACTTCAGCTTCAGTTTAAACCTAACAATTGCCACATATAAATTGCATATAATATGCTGACTTTTCTTTGTTATTTGAAGTTATATTAAAATAGTGAATAGTCTAAAAAAATGTTAGAAGTGTGCGGGTACCCGATATGTCGCGCTCGTGTCGGTCCGGAAAAAATCGGGCGGGTTCGAGCACGTACTCGACACATGCATACGTAATACACACTGGGGTAGCCCGACTTTTTCGGATAACCCGATTCTTTCGGGTTAGATCGGATAAAATCGGAGCCGCTCGACTCGGTCGGGCTCGGACGAGAGCCTGCGATTTTCGTGATTATATTTGAGATTGTGTTTGGAATTGATTGTATTACGTTCATAATGCAGACTTTAATACCCAGCCCTTTTAAGCGACCTTACGCTCTTGTATTCGACAAGCGTGTGCAAAATCTTTGCCTATATGGAAATCTGGAATAAGATAATTTTTATGTGACAAAATAGTATTTCTAACGGATTTATTTGACATGAACTGCTGCATCCCATGTAACCTGTATATTCATTTTATATAAAGTATATGAGTTGAATTTTTACTTTATCAGAATTGGAAAATGTATTCTGGTAACAAATTAATTTTTTAATATTGCTGTACTAAATACACGCATAGAAAGGTATAGTTACTGGATAGCCTGACTTTTTCCGACCTAACCTGAAAGAGTCCGGCTACCCGAAAAAATCGAGTTACCCGCGTGTACGTATGTGTCGGGTACCCGCCCGAGCCCGCCCGACTTTTCCCGGACCGACCCGAGTACCCGACACATTGGACTAGCCGCACACTCCTACTAAAAATACATTAGGCAAGGGATTATTGGATCGGGCAGATGGTCTGAGAGTGTTTGAAGAAGTTTTTATGCAGAATTTCACACGAAAAGAAGGAAAGTCTTCCGTATATCAAAATTAATAGTATATTTTCATGGAGATATGGTGTCTGGTGCTTTATATACTAGGAAGATCGATCTATTAATTTCTTAACACTAACCGTACCGACAGTTACCCGGGCAAATGACCGGTTACGAAATAATCATATTTCTTCCGAAAGGAATGCAGCTGATTGTCAATTTAATATAGGAAACATCCTTTAGATAATAATAAAAAAAAGAAAAATTACATATTTTTATTTTCAAGAAAATACAGGGGGAAAACAGGTGCATGGTTTTAAATTGAAATTTAAAAGTCGGTCATTTGACCGGGGCGTGGTACGGTTAGTGTTAATCGATCATATTAATTTTTGAAATTCTATCACGAAGAAAACAGCGACTTTGCAGTGCTTCAAATTGTTACGGTAAATTTACTTGGATGAAAGCCTCTTGAGAAAGCCTTCCGCGCGAAAGAAAAAACAAATTCTCCTATGTATCAAAATTAAACAGGCATGACAATTTTACCGCGAGAAGAACGAAATTTTCAAAATACAATCGTTTAAACAAAATAATCGACAATAAGACGAAAATCGCCGAAAAATTGTCTAAATGTTAAGAATTAAAAATTAAGTTTCCCGGAACGCGTGCAGAGCGTCAAAAGTAACGCAATAAGGGGTAAATTTTTCTACAAGAAGCAAATGGTAAGGCGACTACCCAGATTTCCAAAGGGGGGCGAAGAAGCAAAAATAAACGTATACGATTACGATAATATCGTGGCGGTGGGTGAAGCACAGGTGAACAGAGAAGATCGATCGAGCATAAAATCAAGAAAAAGGTCGTCGACTTACCTGAAACGCGAGGCAGGCGAATGTGAAGCCTAAGCAAAGAGCGAGTACGGGTGCGACGAGGACGGAGAGGAATATGTAACAGCAGCCCCTGGACAACCGGAAGCAGTGGCCGCTCAGCCGCCACGCGCACTCAGGGCTACGTATTCCTTCCGGTTCCCCGATCACGTCGTCCCACATCACCTGTATATTTCAACAATCCACTGAAATCATTTTTTTCAACCAATAATTTCATTTCGGTGTTTTCCGTGACTTCTCGATGGAAATGGAATTTTAACAATTTTCCTTTAGTATTTAGGTACTCTTTAAATTTAGCGCGTTTTATTTGATTGTGCATTTGATGGGATTCAAGTTTGAAATTAATTTGATCAATTTCGTAAGAATTCCTTTTTACTATCAGTGATATTTCCCGGAAATTCTAGGGGTAGATTGTGAGAGACGTTCTACAGTCGTCCAGTAGAAGTAGCGTTTTTTAAATGCCAAGGCCATTCAATGTATATTCCTTCATGGTCAAGCTCGCGTGTTTCACTCGCAATAATGACGCTTAACCTCTGATACCACCAGGAAATCCGTTGATTTTCATC